TACCCTTCCCTCCCCGGAATTAAATCTACACGATTTAATTATATAAAAAACTGTAAAGAAATTATTGTGAAAAATATTAATGTTCCAACGATAGCTGTGTTTCAAGTCCGACAAATAATCGGCGCGCAGTTTATTAAGTTGGAATATATGTATATACGTATATACATTTTAATTCGTTACTTCTGTAACTATTAATTCTTTATTTGCCACGTACCGCGCTTGACTCGTATCATCGTCATTAATTTTTAGAATATAATTAAAAAATATAATTTTTACAAAGAATAAGCATTAATTAGTGAATTTAATATTTACACTACAATTTTGGAATTAAAAGATTGGATTATTTCCTCTATTTTGTATTTTAGATGGTGATTCAGATGTATCTTCAGTCATGATACAGCCAGCAAGCGACACAAATCGACACAAACGTCGTTGTATCTTTCTTTTTTGGCAATGAGTAACAAAGACAAAACGACACTTGTGTCGACTTGTCACTTGCTAGAAAGCTTCCTATATATGTTTTAAAATTTGCCCGTTACTTTACTTTCTGCCCTAGGAAGGAAAGTGACCACTTTCGTCCTTGTTTGGCGGGAGGAAAGTAACAACTTTCCTCCCTGGCGTGAAATTGGCCACTTTCGTCCCTCTCTACAAACATCGAACTTTCCGTGGAGGTGTTGTGAAAAATTATGTTCAAAGCTTAATAAAGACGTTATCGCTACATACTTATTGTCAAGCTTTTTTGGCACACATTAAAATTTTTAGAAACTCTAATAAAAACACCCTGAGGATATGATATAGAATAGTTTTAGAATATTAAAATACATCATAATTAATTAAATTTTAAAGTATTAATAAACAACGAAAAATGCGGAAAAAGAGAAAGAGATAAAATAAAACTAAAATAAGTTTATTAATGCTTTCAGAATATACACTTTTTAAATATCTTCATGGTTTGCGTATCTTAATAGACTGGAAGACTAGATAAGAAAAAGATATTTATATATTGTACATTGTACATATCTGTGTGAAATAAAAATGCATCATTGTCTGTATAAATATAAAACAGGTATAGGAAATACTTATTAATGTTGCATATTAATAATTTTTTTAATAAACTGTCAAATTATATGACATTTATAATTTAAAAGATATTAGAAGAGCAGAACATAAAGAAAAAGTTTCTTTGTGATATGCATATAATACTTAGGCTTAAGTATTATAATTATGTAATAATTAATTTGTTGTTATCAACTAACATGTCAGAATATCGATTGATGATTATAACATACATTATTTAACATCTATTTGCTATGTACAAAGTCTAAGGAAAAAATTAATTAATCAAAAATTATTGTTATCTGTGTAAATATAGTATAAAAATTAGATGACAAATCGTTATGCATTTGTAATTACAATTACGCGCAAACTGATTTGTCATCCACTATTATTGATTATCATAACTCACGTAAAATCTATTTTTATTGTCTAGCAGAAATTGGCTTTTGATTTCTCACGTGCATATATTACATACATCAAATTTATCGACAAATATTAATAAATGGGGTACTGATAACCAATTGTAAATATTACAATATATTTAAATGCTTTAATAAACTGCTTTAAAAAATTATTATGGTTAATTAACTACTCTATTCTAAGATAATTTTATATGATATACTTATGTATAATATTTTTATACACTTAATTGATAATATTGTACTTTTTTAAATACATTAATAACTAAGAAATAAATGCATTTAGATATCAAGAAATTTGTGAATATTTTATTACTGTATCTATTATCGTTGCAAATTTAAATTTTTATATATTAATTATAATTGCTAAGAAAAAATATTGTTAATTATTTCCGGTTAAATATAAGTCGACATAAGTCGACTTATATTTTAACATGTTCTGGTTGTAAAATATTTTCTATTTTTTTCCAATTTCTGTATTTCAAAATTAAACTTTTTTATCAAGCAATTCTATTTTATCATGCATATCTAAAATAAGTAATTTATTCTATCGCTTAATAAAGTTCTGTTGCATGTATGTAAATGAGTAATAAATTTATAAAAATTATATGAAACATAAATAAGACATAAATGTAAATACAATATGAGAAAAACCGGAAATAATAAACAATATTTTTTCTTAGCAATTATTAATATATAAAAATTTAAATTCGCAACGATAATAGATACAGTAGTCAAATATTCACAAACTTCTTGATATCTGAATGCATTTATTCAGGTTACTTGGTTATTAATATATTTTCAAAAGTGCAATTATTAGTTAAGGGTATAAGAATATTATAGATATAAGTATATCATATAAATTTGTTGCCTTTTAAAATATGGATAGGTCAAGATAGAGTAGTAATTTAATTCCTTGAATAATTATTATTCGTCGATTTATTGTATGTGCATACAAAGTTGCATAAAATAAAAAAAGCTATAAAATAGAGTTTATTATAATTGATATAATTGATATAATATATATTATTATTAAATTTGTTTGTTTATTGTACGTTTACATGCAACAAAACTTTATTAAGCGATTGAATAAATTATTTGTTTTAGATATGCATAAATTACTTGATAAAAAAGTTAAAATTTTAAAATGCAGAAATTAGAAAAAAATATAAAATATTTTACAACCAGACCATGTTAAAATTTAAGTCTTATATTTTGATAAATTGTTTCAAACTTAATAAAGATATTTTTACATTTCTTGTCAAGCTTTGTACGCACAGATAGGATTACAAGATTTTTAGCAAATATAAAATTATTTAATTTCAAGATTAAGATTGGATATAATTGAGTGCACTTACCAGTGCGATGCAGTGCGACCAGTAATAGAGTTGTACTCGTATGCAACACTAATCTGTAAAATATAAATATGTTTAAATAAATATCTAAATTAATATTTTAAATTTCAATATTTTACAAAAATAATTATTACATGCATTTATATAACTTTTTATTCTTAATCTCTTTTCATAAATTCTTAATCTTTTGTAGTTTTCTGGCTTTTAATTAAATATTTATTTAAAAAATTACGTAACTTTACACAAAATCTTTTTATATAAAAACTTTAAAAAATTTGATAAATAGAATCTTTAATTCTTGCGTATTTATATTTTAAATAATTATAACTTTTTAAATGGTGTAAAATATTACGTGTATGTTGAATTTTATATAAATACTTTATTAAATATTTTAAGCCTCTCAAATGTAAAAAATATGTAATACATTTTATAAGCTATAATGTTACGTTATATTACTATATAATTAGTGCATGGAATACTCGTTGTAATCGTGTGATTCTCGCGAGGAAAACCGTTTAAATTCAGTAACTAATAAAATAAGTAACAAATTGCTCACCTCGTGGTTGCTTCGCAGTCGCTCGACGCCTCCCTGGGCCTCCTCCTCCTTCCTCCGCGGCCGCTCATTTACAGCGCTTGCTAAAACACAATTAACTATTATATGATTGCTGCGTATACGGCACTCCCAACGTCCCGACGTCAATCATTTGCATGACTCAAACTGTATTACATTCGGACGGAAAATCGATGCAGGATTGCAGGAAATGCGTGTGATTTCGCGACAAATCGCCGCGGTGATTAGATTCGCACGTTATAAAGCAGATGAAGCGAGTTAAAGTTATAAGAATAAATATTCGCGGAACGCGATATCCGGAAAATATGAACGTCGCTCTCTTGACTGTTCGCGCGACAGATTCGATCAAACGCATCTCGTAAAATATTTTAAGCAACGTACCGAGCGTCGAATCTACACGTCACGCCAGTGTCAAATATATTAAGACACCATTAAATATGAGACAACTAGGTTCGTCCTGTATGCGCCGTGACGTCACGGCGACGAAAGATTCGAGAGTGACGCTGCTATCTTAACCATGATGCCGCGCGACGAATTTCGGTTAAACGCGCATCTCGCGAAATACTCGTTTTATGAAGTCAGCGATGTACCGGTCGAATCTACGTCGTATGCGCGTCAAATACCGGAGGCACGATTGAGTTCAAGCTTATAATGATTGTGCTTACCGATTAATTAAACGTGCCGCGATTAATAGGCCCGTCCTGTACCCGCGACGTTCCGTCGGTTCCGTTCGCAACGACGAGGGATTGGAGAGTGACGTCACGATGCGCCATCTCTCCCGTGATCCCGCGCGATAGATTTCGGCCGAACGAACGCATCGCGAGAAATATCTTAAGCAATGTATCGAGCTTCGAATCTACACGTCGCGCGGGTGCCAAATACTAAGACACTATTGAATACGGAAGCTCATAAGCGATTGCGCTTACCGATTATAGCGATTATATACGAGCCAAGACGAACAGACCCGTCGTCCTGTACCCGCCGACGCGCGACGTTCCGTTCGCGATGACGAGGGATTAGAGAGTGACGTCACAATGCACCATCTCTCCCGTGATCCCGCGCGATCGATTTCGGCCGAACGAACGCATCGCGAGAAATATTTTTGAGCGATGTACCGAGCGTCGAATCTACGTCGCGCGAGTGTCAAATATTAAGACACGATTGAATATGAAGCTCCCAATAACGATTGCGCTTACCGGTTAAACATGCCACGACGAACGGATCCATGATCCATCCTGTATCCGCTAGACGTTCCGTTCGCGACGACTGGAGATTCGAGAGTGAAGTGAATAGAGTGAGTAGTGACGCCACGCCAACGTCGCCAACTTCATAATGATCCCGCGCGCGACACGACGCGCGCGATCGCCAAGTTCGAATGTCGAATCTATATACACGATAGTTAAATGTTATTATTACAAAGAATTGATGCAGGTTTTTCTTACTAATTAAATGAATTGTGACGCCAGTTTTCCCGAAATCAATTTGTTTCCGTGTCTATCACGTTTTTCTAATAATGACGAAATATTTGAATATGCAACTTTGGTACGTGACACTACGTGAGTCAAATGGATGGCTAATAAAAACGTACAGTTGATCAACTAAAATTATGCAATTGAATTTTATTATTGCATGTACGGTGTACAGTAATTGAACTTATTAATATTGCAAAAATATATTATGTAAAATTACACAACACGAAAATCATAAGCGCAGCACAGACACGCACCAAGGGGAGAGACTTTATCGACAGTGCCAGAAAATGGATATGCCAAATAGTTCCAACGTTGAAAATGGGTGCGAGTGGCGTTTCGAGCGGTCCATTGTCCAATATAAAACATCATTTCAGGTTAGGTCCCCGTGGTCCAGCAGACAGATATCCATGTAAAAAGATTCTATAACATATCATTTTTTTTCATACAATATATTATACATTTTTAAATATTAAACAATGAAATCTTTCGACTGCATTTTTAATCTTTCTTTTTTCTTCCTTTCTTCTATTTCCTTCAATTTCCTCAAACGCTTATTAATTTCAAGCGTAAAATTATAACGTAGAAAAATCGCTGCGATCGAAGTCGACATCGTCACAGATGATTAAATATTTATTAGGGTATACGTACAATTAGAAAACATGAGAAGAAAATAAAAAATTTAGAAAAACGTATCCAGGAATTGGAAGCGATGACGTCCGTGATGTTGGCGTTGGCAGCGCTTCCACTTCCGCGGAACGTCGTGCCGCTGCCATGCGCCTGCGGGATCTATCAACGGAGATAAACAAGGATGCACCGCCGTACGGCAGTTCGGGGTTAGGTTTAAACGTCATACGCTCGCCGATCGGGGATTTCGTCTGTTCAACATGTTTATCAAGCCGTTCAAAGTCAAGACTAATTACCAGTTGAAGGGAACTGAGAGGTTCGTACAATTTTTTGGACGTTTTGGTAATCCTTCGGTAGCTTTAGGACCTTTAGGTTATATACTCCGCATCCTTATCTGTCAAACAAACGTATTATTCACGAACATCTTTTACGTATGTACTCCCACGGAAGATAATGAAAAATATGAGAGACGTTGCAAGTCCAACAATAATAATATCTCTGAATCTGTTTGACTTACAATATATTCGTATGTCCTAAGTGAAGAGGGATAATTGATTATTGTTATCTCTTTCAGGAAAAAATTATGCGAGGAGGTGTTGGTGGCATATCCGAGTCTCTCGGACGAAGAGATTCACGCACTGTTGCCCAAGAAGGAACCCATCAGCATTATGAAAATAGTAACGCACAGTGGACACGTAGGCAAAGTATATTGCGTCGCCAAGATACCCATGTTCTTTCAACTAGATTCGTACGACACTCTGCTCTTTCCCACAATTTATACGTTATGGCACCATCCCTATTTATTAAATGCCTTCACTACGCACACGCCAGTCGTGTCCAAATTGCTAGCCGGTGCAAATCTCATGTTGCCTGGATTGATTCTGAAGGAGCCAGTGACCCTATATAGCTTTGGTAAACTGCCAAAGGGTACTCCAGTGTTGATTAACACCGAGGAGAACAAGGTTTGGACCTTTATAATCCCAACAGTTAATCGTATATCAAAATGTTGAGAGAAAAAGAGTATTCCTTAATCCTTCTGCAGGCTGCAGTTGCCGTCGGCGTAACTGCACTTTCCAGCGAGGACATGTATATGGCAGCTGGTCATGGAAAGTGCGTAGAGGTTTTTCACGTTATCGGTGACATGTTGTGTCAATTAGGCAAACCACCCCTGAGGCCTGATTTGGGTTTACCAAATGCCGACAACCCTACAAATACGTTGGAAGATATCGAATCGATTAATCGAGAGGAAATCGTAGAACAAAGCGAAATTCTGCCGGATACGTTGGACGAATTAGACCTGAGTGAGAGTTCAAGCGACGTAGTCAAAGATGAAATCATTTCTAAGGTAGACATGCCAAAGATTCTCTCAAAAATAGATCAAGATAAATCGATTGTTTTTTATGTTATTTAGGAACATATAGAAGAAGATGTAGAAACTGAAGATGTACAAATTTCAAACATAGTTGAGCCGGAAGTAGTTGATCCGGTCGAAGAGATGGACAGACTACTGGAATATTGTTTCTTGAAAGCTTGCAAGATGACAGTCAAGTCTAGCGATTTGCCGATGTTGTCGTCCAACTTTTTCAAAAATCATCTGTTGGCCGCATGTCCGCCGGATAAAAACGTTGATGTAAAGAAATCTCGGTACAAAAAGTTATCGGTTTTTCTAGCAGAAATGAAGGCCAAAGGAATAATTAATACATCCATTACAAAAGGCGTTGAAACATTGTTGTCTATTAAGGTAATATTTTTTTTTTTTTTTTTTTTTTTTTTTTATAATCAAGAAGCTTTTTCAAATCGCTCAGGTTCATATTCTTCAAATATAAAGAATATATTAAAAAACTTTTTGGAAATAAGCTCTTTGATTAGGATATCAAGTGATTACAAGAGATTTTGTTATTTATTTAAGTTTGATCATCCACTTGTGAGAAAATTAGTCGTTACCGAGGAACCAGTTGCTGCGGTTGAACCAGTGGTTTCGAACAGCGCTGTCGTGTCGGAATGTTATCGAGTGACCGCCGACGTTCTGCCAGTTCTATCAAAATTCGGCTATGAGTAAGTACGGTAGGCATGGCACTTGGTGAGTGACGTCATTTTATCGCGACGCAATGTAATTGCAGAAGAGACAGTTTTCTATGCGGCGATGGTAAAAGCCGCTGAATGTTAAATCGTCGTAATATATAAACGTGCGTATTGTGTTCGTTTTACATCGAATACATGATGATGATTGCAGAAAGGGTGACGTAATGAAAAGAGCCGATATCAGAAAGTGTTTTACTGAGTACGCGAAAGTGGAGGGTCTGCAAGATGGAAAGTAAGACGACAATGCTTCACGTATAAACTAATCTCGCACTCGCACTTTTTCTACATTGACAGCGGTTAATTTTGCAGAACGTTAAAGCTGAATCCCCAATTGGCGGGAATCATGCGAACTAAGGCTCATCAGGAGACGGTGACGATGGAGGATGGAATAAACAAATTTGTCGGACGCATGACGCACATGCACGAGGTTACCCTCGCGGGAAATACTTTGTTGCATACGGGAAAACTGGAACCGATCGACATGAGAGTGACAGTGCGATCAGGCGGGAAGAAGGTAAATGTGGCGGCTCGCCGCTTTTAAAAATTGATACAGAAATTATTCGTTTTTCTGACGTCACGCAATTGCAGGTAACATTGGTGAATAATCTGGAAACGTTCGGGATCAATCCGAAAGAATTCAGCAAAGAATGCCAGAGCATTGGCGCGAGCGCGACAATCACTGATGATCCTGGCAAAAAGACACCTAGCGTTCTTGTTCAGGGGAATCAAATCTTATACGTGTACAAATTACTCACAGGTGAGTTGCTTTGATTTTAATATTCAATTTAATATTTTACAATTACGCAAACTCTCTGTAATTTTGTTATTTATTATTTGCAGAGAAATATCAAATAAAAAAGACCTATATAAGGGGCTTAGAATTTGCTCCAAAGAAGAAAAAATAGATTCTTGCGAAAAAATAATGTTTAATGATTGTCAACACTGAAACCATTCCTCATGGTTTTAATTTTTCTTCTCGAGACTTGGTGCAAATGGATAATCAATATTGATGAGTGCAATTTTAACGGAACAATTTCAATTGTAAATCGAGGAACGCTGCCAATTTAGTTATTTGTGGAATCATGTTTTTTAATAGACTAAGATAATTGGAGAATTAACATTTATCCCTTACCAGGAAAAATACGTGATGAGTAATTATCAAATAAAAGCAACTTAGAAATGTACAACATATGAATTCTTATTGTATTTATCCGAACCGTCGTATTATTATATAATGTATATAAGTGTAACAACTAAAGAAAAAAAGAAGAAAATTTTTTAAGACGCTATCAGTAGGTAACATTCATGCGAAAGATGACAGGCGATCGAAGTTTCTTAATATAATTTATTATATATCGAGGTTTCAACATGGAAAAGTACAAATATTGCAATATGGGGAGGGCCCGCGAGCTCTCCTCGGGTAGGAGGGAGGGAGGGAGGGAGGAAAGCAGGAAGGCAGGATAGGATTTTCGATTGTATAGGAGAGGAGGGGCGACGTACGTAAAGAGAATGTGTCTTGCGGGATACAGGGATGCTGCGTTCGGATGAGAGAGAAAACTAAGAGCGAACCGCGTATACGTGTATCGCGCGTTTTACTTCTGCTTTAATTTTACGTTTTCTTTATTTTTTTTTTTTTCAAGACGATGGGATGTCGACGGACGTCGCGGAAAACGGTGGAGGACGCCCGTCCGGTGTTTTCTTTTTCCTCTTTTTATTTCTCTTTTACGGAATAAAAGGAAAGTTCCCTCCTCTCCACGGCCCCCGCATATATTTAATACTCGTTTTGTTCTTCATTTTTTTTTCTCTTTTTTCCTTTCATCTTTTGTTACTACCTGTACGCACGGGCGCGTCAGGGAAAGCCTCGCGACGCGCGCGTGCGTGTTTCGTGACAGTAATTACGTTTTGTTTTCCTCGTTCTCTCTCTCTCTTTCTCTCGCTCTCTCTCTATCTCTATCTTTCGCTACTCTTTCACTATCATAATCATCACCATCCGATTAGATTGCTGGTGTTATCATCGCTTTGCGCCTTCCCTAATCATTTCGCAGACATACGATCGATCGAGACGTAGCGATCTATATCCTACGATTTTTTTTTATCGCACGCGCTTTGCTCGATCCGTAAATCATCGTTGTATCGTCGCGCGCAACAGGTCGCGACACAAAAAACAATTGGAGATACGAATTAGAAGAAAACACCGTCAGTTTTCGCGATTCTTGTCATTTCTTGAGATTCTCTTCCCGCGATTTAATTATCCCTTTCTTTCCGTCATTCTTTAAATTATTCGTTCCAGCGGTGATGACGTTTTTTTCAATTCGTATCACCACGATTAAGGCTGCGGTCCACTTGACGCTACAAATACTTTGGAGCGCTCTTCTTCTCCCTCTTTCTTCATTGAAAGAAAAGAGAAGAGGAATGCTTCGAAGCATTTGTAGCGTCAAGTGGATCGCAGCCTAAATCAATCGCTATTCTCCGCGCTTCGTTCATCTCAAAGGATCTGATTATTTGATCAGTTACACTCTTTTGTCGTTAGTTGCCTTTTAGTCGCTTCGATGCTTCGATAATGATCGCCTAAAAGTCTAAAATTCGTGCCGCATTGTACCGGACTAGTCAATCAGTCTTCTCTCGTTAAAGCGCCGAGCGACTCGAACTAGCCGACCGCTCTCTTTCGCGCGATTCTCGTCTGTCCCGAGATTCGCGAGCAAAATCGCAATTTCGGATACGAGAGAATCGCGACCGAAAGCTCGATGCTCTTCTCCCTTCTCTCCCCGTATCACAAATCTGCGATCGCTACGACTCAATCATCATAGATTTATCAGCGGTTTACCGCGGAGGAAATCCTCGCACTCGCCCTTTCTCTCACGCACTTTCATCACGTTATCTCACTCTCTCTCTCTTTCTCTCTTTTTTTTATCTCATTCCGCATCCTCGCACGGGGATACATGAAGCGCTGAAAATATAAGTCCTGTTTAAAGGAGAAATTTAAACCAAGTATTCTTCATTTTTTTCATGAATTAATTATTAATAGACTATTTGTGTCGGAAGGGTTTTCCGCACACACAATCACCGTTACTTCACTAATCGTACTTACTTTCTTTTTTATTGCAAAAGAGGAAATTAAATTTTCAGCGGTTCATATTGTATTCATTGTTGTTGTCACCGGGCGAATCATCGTTATCCAAATCATATCTCTCTTTTGCTCTCTTCTTACACGCACTCTTTCTTTTTCTCTTTCTCTTTTTCTCTCTCGTTCTCTCGCTCGCACGGTCTCTTTTGCCTTCGGAATTTTCGTAGTTTTCTTTTTTTTTTCTCTTTATGCAACACATAATGCGACTAGGTAGTACAGATTAATTAATAATTAATATCGTTAGTTATACAATAATAACGTATGACTAGACAATGCAAGATAATAATTATATCGTAAATATTAATAATCATATTATGGATCGCAATTTATATCAACAATGTAGTGGCGCGCACGTGTTTCAAAGAATGTAAGTGTCTAATTATACCGTTTTTACGTCTGTATGTGTGCCCTTCTTCTGTTTCTTTATGTGCGTGTTCCCGTGTGCGTGACTATTTCCCGCTTCCCCATATGTATGTATATAAATGTATGTGTGTATGTATATGTGTCCCTTCTTTCTTCAAGGGTCCATTCGTCCTGCCTCGCGGATGTTACACCGCGAATGGAATCGGAGGATAAAATCGTACCGAAGCTAATGGGCTTGATAGCTGGGGATTCTGTAAAGCTGGTCGAACAAGTAGAAGTGACTTTTACATTTTTTTCATTCGAGACATCTGATTCAAGGCGCGATGTGTACCGTGATTAAAAAAAAAGGATCCTCTCTTTCCCGCTCCGTTTCCACGGCATGTAACATCCTAATTTTACGCACTTGTTTTATGTGTATATGGTGTAGTTTGTATGCTGTATATGTATATAGGAAGCTTTCTGCATTTAAGTTATCGTCGGTATCCCGATTAACCCCTTAAAAAGTATCGATAATGCATCGACAATCGTCAACGCGGCGGTCAACGGTGTGCCGCGTTCCGTTCGAGGGAAACGTTTTATTAATTAACGGATCCAGCTGTCACGGTGAAGTGCACGTGGTAATCCTGCCGCGCGATCCTACAATGTACATTTACGGAAATAATGAAATCATTATATATCTCTGACAAATGAATGGCGACGCGACGCGACATGACGTCTCGCGGATGCTCGATCACGTTAATTAATCGTCATATGTTCGTTTAGACTGGATCCAGGTCAAGCAAAGAGCGCAACGAGCACGAATGAACGAATTTGCTTGGATAGGCGTGGTAGAGCTCCAACGAGCTCAAGTTTTCATCTCTTTTCGCTATATCGAGAAGTGTTCGTGATTGTTCGTCCTTGCTTGATCTGGTCCCATCTCGGACAGCAACGGCAACGTGCGAGGTGTCCCGTCGCCCGCGAGCGCGTATCTCGCACGATATAATAAGACATACTAATAATCTGATAATAATATTCGAGGCGCGTAATATCGCGCTTCGATCACTAATAATAATATACGTAATAGCATGACGATAATAATAGCAATAATAAGAACGATAATAACACCAATAAGTAAGTATGTGTTATACAGAGCTCTGTCGAGAATATAATATGGTAATGTCCCTCTCGCTTTCTCTCTCTCTCTCTCTCTCTCGCTCTCTCTCTTCCCAATCTCAATTTAACACTCTCTCTCTTTCTCTTTCTCTCTACGCATTCTATACATAACGGAAAAGCCGTTTCCGCGATTGCACAGGTGAACTAAGATCCTCGAAGGTGTAGCGAGGAAAAATATTTCTCTGAGGCCCCCTTTTCGGCCCGGGCCCCGTAAACCCCTACTCCTTAAGAGGTTAAAAAACGTTCTAGAGACTCTTTTTTTTTTCGTCTTTGTCGTTTAATGTTACACGTTACACGATATGCGGTTTTGCGGCGTCGACGCCCGTCGATGATGGATCTCAACGAGGTATCATCAGCGGGCATCGGGCCTGCTCAGGGCTTGCTTCAGGGTGCAGGTTTTCGTGTCCAAATTCCGACGAACGGAAAAAAATCGACCGGATAGATCCTTGGGAAAGGCGAAACTCTTCCGCGTTAATCCTCCTCCAGTCTTCCTCTTATCATATATTGTTCCGTTTCGATACGTCCGCACCGCCGTGCATTCTCTCTCACGACGGCGTCTTAATTATATATACAATATATATATACAAATAAAGCACGTATGTGTATATATATAATATATACTAGTTGCGGTCTCCATCGGCGCTCACGGAAACCCCCACGTTTAACCCGCAATTGATTCGTCGTTGCCGGGCGGCAAAACTCTCGTTAGATCGATTATCTAATTAACTGCGAATTTTATTCGAATTAAATGTCATAATCAATCTTCAGGTTATCGAGGGTTAAACTGTTTCCGTAAGCTCGCAGTGCCTTGAACACCGTGCGCGACAATCAATATTCGCGACGAGAGCAATGATTTCGCCGACGAGTTCGAAAATACTGGCATCGCCGAATGCTACGAGCTATATAGAATTAATAACGAAAAAATGCTCCCCTTAAGTCCGCAAGGATAATTTCTCGCGCGACATACGGAGCACATACTTTTACGTCAACATCCTAATGTTTTTTTTTTCTTCTTCATATTGAGCCCTGTGACGTAGTAAAGCTGTTCGCAGTAGTAAAGTTTGGTGTATGGTCAGACATGTGCTCGATGAGCCAATCGTTTTCCCGTCCCGATTCGATCGAGTCGATCCCCTCGTCCGTACACTTCCCGCGAGGCCTAAGGAGTAAAATCTATTTTTGAGAGTCAGCGGGTGTTTCTCTTACATTTCCGATTATCAAAAATTTATTATTCTCCTCGCTTGTCATTACGCACTAAATAACTTCATCGATCGCCTATAACGTCGAATGTCTCGACAAGAGTATATTGGTATTTATCACGATGGTCGCCGCTTCAAAATTGATTTCGAATTAATGCAACAACCCCCTAATTATCCTAACTCCCTTACTCTCCCTTTATTCCCTCTTCATTCGTCTATTAATCGCTACGCTTTTTTTTTCTTTAATCGTACCATCGTTTAAGCATCGATTATCGCGAAATTGGAAATGCTTAGGTCTTCGCGATACTATCGCTATTATTATCACTTGGAGTTTTATGCAGTCCTTGGT